GCAACCAATTGAAAACATGAGAGGCAATAGAAAAAAAAACGCGTGGGTGATTTCAGCCAAATTAGTCGCATCAGAAGCATTTAATGCAGTATTTTTAGAATATTGATTCCAAAAGGCGGAAGTGGTTAATCCTAATTTGTAGCATAATCAAAGCAATTTAGTTTGCTTTTTTTTTTGGGGGGGGGGGGGGGGGGGGGTTTGCCTCGAATATTATTTTTAACAGCACTGCAACACAAACTTCTCTATATGTTCTGCAGCAGGAAGTGGGATTGTACAAACCTTTGCCTTTTGCAAGTTTTGTGGAAAAAAAAAAAAAAAAATTGGTAATGATCACTTACATAAAATCATACTTTTCATTGTACCTTTTTTTTTTTTAAAAAAAAAAAAATGTGCAAATGACTTACTAACACTGATTAGATCTGGAAAAGCAATGGGTTTCTTGGAAGCTTAAGCTGACCACAGCCACAGGTTGCAGGAAAAAAAGATCATTCAATTCCCCCATCAGTGTTGATGAGGGAATTATTAGTGTGATGAACAAAATGGTGATTGTTGCAATTTTTTATGTCACGCAGTATTTACAGTGTTTTTTTTTTCAAAAAGTGATTTAGAAAAAAATAATTTTAATGAATTAAAAAACAAAACACAATATATAACCCAATTTTTTTATTTTTTTTATAAAATTTGGAAGATGTTATGCAGAGTAAATAGATATCTAACATGTCATGCTTTAAAATTGCGCAGGCTTGTGGAAGGACGCCAAACTATAGTACTCCCGCTGGGAGAACACAGGGCTGAAACTACTAATTGATATTGATAATGAAAAAAAAGCCGCAAGCAATAATAGCATGTAAAAAATGACAGGCTGGTTGTATTCAAGTTGATGATCAATCAACTTGGGTACAATTCGCCTGCCCATACATGGTTCGAATCTCGTCCGGTCCCTGCTGAACCAGCCGAGATTCAAATAGTCTATGGCTGGCTGACACTAAATTATATCCTTATTCCTCAAAAAATAATCCATACACACCACTTAATGGCCCTGAAATCTATTTTGCATGAAATCATTTTCTTACTTTGGTTTTTGTTTCCTTGTTCCATACCTGAATAGATTTTTTTTATTTATTTTTTTTTAATTTGAAAACCAGAGTTTAGTTTCAGTTTAAGTAAAGAGAGCTCCTCACTACAGTTTCTGTTCTTGTCTCTGTCCTTCTATATTGGGTGTATCACCCATTTTATGTGGCACTCTTTATGATCTAAAATTTAAAAAAATGATTGGACTCTCCTGCAATTGCAGAGGAAGATGGGGAAGCAAGACTCATAGGAATTGAAGTACCCAAATCTTGCCACTATAGTCTCTCAGACCATGGGTTGCAGGAAAGAAAATCCCTCGATTTCCCCATCAACACTGACTGACAACACTGAACTGCCGGCAGAACCAATGATTACTGCTGATAGCTATAGCGGCCGGCAGTACACAATGATTACTGCTGACAGCTGTAGCAGCCAGTAGTAATCACATGCAAAAAATCCTTCAAGCTGGTTGTACTGAAGTTAATTTATGGATTGACTTTACTACAACCAATCTGTGTATAGATGGATCAAATCTCAGCCAGTCCCTGCTGAACCAGCCAAGATTAAATCCATCTATGGCTGGCTTAAGGGTGACAGTGCTACAACTGAAATGAGTAAATGTCCAGGAAAAGACGTGCCTTTGCTTGCTTGTATGATTTAATTGAAAGCAGCAGACAAATACAACATTTTTTTTTTTGTTCAGGAACGTTCAATAACATATCTGGATTAGGGTCTCTTCCACACACAGTTTAAAAGAATGACGCTTACACAGTAGTTGAGCATTTTTTGTTTTCCAATCTGTAAAAGCATTATGTAAGCCTAGATGTCCTTACATACATAGGCTTTTACAGGAATATTAGAGTAGCGTTTACAGGCAGGAAAAAAAAAAAAATCACCAAAGGCGTGCTCTTGAGAGATTCCATTCAGCAGAAATATCATCTAAGCATGCTTAACCACTTGCCTACCAGGCACTTATACCCCCTTCCTTACCAGGCCAATTTTCAGCTTTCAGCGCTGTCGCACTTTGAATGACAATTGCGTGGTCATGCAACCTTGTACCCATATGAAATTTTTATCATTTTTTTTTCTCAGAAATAGAGCTTTCTTTTGGTGGTATTTACTTGCCACCGGGGGTTTTATTTTTTGCGATCTAAACAAAAAAATAGCAAAAAATTTGAAAAAAAGAAAGGTTATTTTGTTTCTATTATAAAATTTTGCAAACAGGTAATTTTTCTCCTTTACTGATGTGCGTTGATGAGGTGGCACTGATGGCTGCACTGATGGTCAGCACTGCTGGGCACTGACTGGCAGCACTGCTGGGCTGCACTGATGGGCAGAGTTGGGTGGTACTGGTGGGCGGCGCGCTGCTGGACACTGGTGGGCGGCGCTGCTGGACACTGGTGGGCGGTGCTGCTGGGCACCAATCATCAGTGCCGATCCCCGCTCTGACAACTGCTGGTTCTCTGCAGTACTTTCCCCACGTTCTGACAACGTGAGAAAAGTGCAGCCAAGAACCGGCAATTGCATTTCCCTGTGATCAGCGTGTCATTGGACACGGCTGATCACGTGGTAAAAAGCCAGTGTGATTGGCCTTTTACCACATCACGTGATCAGCTGTGTCCGACACAGCGATCACGGAGATCGCCGGGGGGGCGCACAGGAGAACACGTTCTGAGAGGATGTCATATGACGCCCCCCCAGAACTGGCTTGCCGCAATGTAGCCGTCATTCAGCTATCTGCGGTCGGCAACTGGTTAAACGCTGTGCAAGTAAATGCATTCCAGTGGGCAGAATACCTTAAAATTCAGGCTAGTAGGATGCATTTATGCTACAATGCTCATATGCACATGTGCAATACATGGCTTTTTCCTGCCAGCAGTACTGGCGTTCCAGAGCTCCCACCACTCATCTAAGCTGAATGATCTGTCCCTATTTTGGACGAACAATTAGCCCTGTTCATTCTTTCCTAATCGTAAAAGATCCCTCAGCTTTGGCTCTGTGTTACCTATTCTGGTGATGTCCTGTATGTGTACAAGCAGCTGAAGATGGATTACAGAGAGCTGCAGCTATGAGTGATCTTTTCCTAATCTGAATGAAAAAGCATCATTAATCTTTCATTCATGAATGTGAAAGATCACAAAGAGCTGTGGGGTTTATCTGCTGCACCTTGTAAACATCCAAAGCTCCACTGATGGATTACACAGTGCTGTGTAAGCATTCACTTTTATGAATGAAGGATCAGGCCGGTGCTGTGTATAACAGATCTGCGGCGCTGCCTGTTCATTAATAAAAATGAAAGGTCACTCAACCCTATGGGGCTGTGTGATCCATCGGCCGGTGCTTTGTATGCTTGCAAGCAACTGCAGATACACACAGCTCCACAGGCTGCGTGATCTTTGAGAGTGGCAACACTAGTCTCCAGACCGACGCCATTGGCAGAGATCAAAGCTGTCACTCACAGGCGTCTGTTTTTTCATGGTGACCGGACAGCAGGGGGAAAACTGTCCAACCATGATGTTTAGCAACTAAGGAGCGGATTTGAATTATGTACTTGGTCCCCTGAGTGAAAAATAAGAGACATTTTTGCCTTGAGACTTCATTAATGCGCTAACTCCATCTTTTGTACCATGTAACATTGTGAAAAGGGGCACTTTGACACCCCCCTCCCATCTGCTTCCACCCTGCAGCAGCTGTCGCTTTTGAGATTAGCATAACTGTGCGGGTTCCCTCCTACAAAGCCTCATCATTCATTCACAGATCTGTGCGTGGATGAACTACATGTCCCATCTACCACCTTGGCAGATGGACTTGTAATTTTCAATGGAAAATGAGTGAGGTGATTGCTGCACTCGTAGTCCATTGGCAATTCATGTATAACTCTGCCCCAAATTACATCACCAATCTTGTCTCCAAATATTATTATTATTATTACATCGAGCTTATATAGCGCCAAAGGGTTTGCTCAGCGCTGTACAATAGAGGGGGGGGACAATACATGAAACAGTACAGCAACAACAAACAGCACACGAGGGGTTAGAGGGCCCTACTCTTTCGAGCTTACAATCTAGGAGGGAAAATATCACCCAAACCGTACTCTCCGCTCCTCGCATGACCGCCTACTCTGTAGCTTCCTTGTCTCCTCCTCCCATGCTCGTCTCCAGGACTTCTCCAGAGCCTCCCCCATCCTCTGGAACTCTCTACCCCAATTTATCAGACTATCGCCTTCTTTGCTCACTTTTAGGCGATCTCTGAAAACCTATCTCTTCAGGGAAGTCTATCCTGCCCTCAGCTAATAGAATCTTCTCTTCCTCCTACCAGTTCATCCCCCACAGTTATTACCTTTTGTACCACTAGCCCCTCCCTTTTAGATTGTAAGCTCCAAGGAGCAGGGCCCTTCTAACCCTCTTGTATTGAACTGTATTGTTTCTGTATTGTCTCCCATTATATTGTAAAGCACTGAGCAATGTGTTGGCGCTATATAAATCCTGTATAATAAGAATTCCTCCAGCTCTCAAAATGAAAGTTTGTATCTCAGTATGGACATAGAACTGGAGGAGGAGTCTGCAGGAACCTGGCATTGCACGTGCGATCCACTGATTGCAGGTAGAATGCTTTGCAGGCTACTGTGGTAAAAATTAATAAAAAGTACATACACACTTTTTTTCCTACAAAACAATGTGCATTTATTATTTTTTTTTAAGGAAATAAAAAAAGACCATGGTTGCCATCTCGTCCTGGGTTTTCTGCACCTTGACATCAGTGACTATAGACTTTTGTGACAGTCCTAGTGATATTTGCTCTTTAAAACCTCTGATGCATGTCATGGTATTAAAATAAGAACATCAACTGATCTTAATATACACACACAACCTTTTATTGGATGATTATTCTGCAATATGATTTTTCTAAAATCAGATTGTCTTCTTTCATCTGCAGGAACTTATGGATTTGCAGAGGGACCCCCCAGCGCAGTGTTCCGCTGGTCCCGTGGGAGAGGACTGTACGTATTGCATCTTGTACATTACATTATACATTAGTAGTAAAATAGTTCTAATTACAAATATACACACCAAATATACAAGTAATGTTTATTATGTTTATATCATAACTATTTTATTATTGGCACTGGTGCCCCAGAGACTAGACCCAGCATTTCTCCTACACATATCACTCACCACTGTCCCCCTGCAATACAAATGATAGATTTCACAACTACAGGAGGTGGACAGAATAATGGAATCTTCTAACAGTATATTAAAATAAATGGTCTAGTAAAGAATTTAGCTCCACTTTGTCCTCAGAGCTGTTTCAGACCTTCTTGGAATGCTGTCAGACAAGTAGTGTACAGTGTGTTGTGGGATTCTGCTCCAGTCTTCAGAAAAAAAGCCTTCAGTTGTTTGAGAGGCAAAGGAGGTGGAAATCTTCTTTGCTTGTCTCCAGCACTCTTCGTTAAAGGGTAACTCTGCTTTTGTTTGAAAAAAGAAATCGCAAATTCTAAAACATGATAGCATATACATCTGCTACACAAGTCATAATGTAATTGAATGTTATTGAAAATTACCTTTCATTTTCAATCTGCAGTGCTGTAATTTTCTGTAAAATTCAATGCAATGTGGCCACCTGGAGGTGTTCTGTACACAGTTGATGTACAGAACACACCCAGAAATGTAATTTCCTGCTTGTGTGGTTGGCTCGCTGATTTTCCCAGAAGTCAGCACTAAGATGCAAGTCAGATTTTAGGTGTCCTCTGCAACAAAAATGTCATTTTGGTGAGATACTCTCAAAGGGTTAATCACTTATAAAGGGATGCTGACACTGCAACTTTCCTGCTGTAAGTGCAACAGCTGATAACTCCCATTCAGATTCACCCTTACATTGACATAATCCCGTCATCATGTAAAACATTAATCCTTTTTCTTCAGAGTAGAAACACACAAGAATCTGCAATATAGTTTGTTATAATCCATGCAATGTACATAGATCACACAGAGAGGATTGTTTTATTTATTTTCTTTTTTATCCCCCCCCAACAAAAGTAGAGTTACTCCTTAGGTTCACACCCGTGCAGGTGGTGCCGCTGCGGATCTGCACGAAAATCCATGCAGCCACACCATCCGCACAGAGAAATGCAGACCCGCAGGCGGGTGCCATTAGTTCTGATGGCACGCCGCCTGCACTGGAAAACGCAACCGTACTGGGAACCGAGGTTCCCGTGCGTGCTGCGTTTTCCAGAGAAGTGCAGGGACTTCTTCCATGCGTGGCACGGGAGTCCATTCAAATGAATGGGCTCTGGTGCAAAACGTGGCCCGCACAGCCGCACATATGTGAACCAGGGCTAATAGCCAGTGCTGTTTAGATCTAGTAACAGGGAGGATGTTGTGGAAGGCGTTTGTCTTCATCCAGGTCATCCTGAAACTGCTCTTGAATTTATTTAGGAGCATTTATTGGGTATGTTCTCATTTTTAAATATGGGAACATTATGGAGGAACTCTGTACGTACCGTGATGTGTATCCGATCCTGTTGTGTATTCAGTGGCCTTTATACATACAGGCAGAGAAATGACACTGGTGACATAGCTCTCCATGCCATGAACTCAAGCCAGATGAGGGTTCCCCTTTTTGGCATGTATAAAAAAATTTTTTTTTTTTTTTTTTATAACTACTGCTTTTCATCTACTCTTCCACTCAACTCACTGAAATGTCTTGCAGTGACAGATGGACATACAGTTTGGGCATCAGCTATTTGGCTTCTTTGAAGTTGTTGGTGACGTCATGTGACCGATAACTCAAATTTCAAGTGCTAATTTTTCACACCTTTTTTATAGCTGACATACTGCTAACTGGCAGGCACTCTTGTATGACTAACCTTTGCAGCTGTGATGGTGATCAATTACTGTTCGGTTGAACTCCTTTTTCATTGAAGTGTTTCCTTTATTTTGTCCATCACTGTACACATAAATGGCAATTAAAAACCTTGCCGAGCAATTCTAAATGCTGCAAGTGTCTGATTTCTGTTTTTGACAATATTTTCCGTTAACATCGTTTACGTTATGCTGCTAGAACCAGTAAGTACACATCACTAAAATAGTTACGCCTATATATATATCTCACTAGCGGTAGGGCATCCTTTCGTCCATGAAATATCCCCCAAGTTGTGTCTCTCTGTATTTCAGTGTTTCACTGGCAGGCGACTATCATGGGCCCCGTAAGTATCTTGTACTGCGCTGTGTGCACCACTCCTCTGTTTGTGTGTGGACTAATATTTGTCACATCCTTTATCAGGGTGTTCAGCACTTCTGGAAACACTGGCAGCTGAAGTTTAGCATAATCCAATGAGCAGCATCAGGCAATATGTTCTGTGAGAACAGCCTAGATTCTCATAGCAAAGTTAACCCTTGTCTAGATGGGCAGGTTGTGTAGGGAGATGGGATTTTGTTTGGAAACTCATTAGGGTACGGGATTAGACACAAATAGAAAACACTGAAAGTCCCGTGACAAGTGCGGAGGAGGCAAATATCTGGTGAGGTTGAATAGTGTTCTAAATTGAGCGAGGAAGTGGGAATGCCCTTCTCTCTCATTGGCGGGACCCCTCCACCGCCTGTTTTCCTAAACTAAGGGAGTGTACTGGCCACTAGAGTACAACGTTAAGGGGGTTTGCTCTGCAAATTGTTGCTTCAATAAAGAAACTTGTCCTTAGAGAAATACTGAGGCTGCTGCTGGCCTTCTTAAAATGCTAGTTTCTGAGCCGTCATGCTGGTCCTTTAACCACCCGAGTACCAGCCTGTCATACTCTGTCATTACCAGGTCATTTTTCACTTTACATTTCTCAGATAGTTTGACCATTACTCGATCATGCAACACTGTGCTCAAATGAATTTTTTAAAAATATTTTTTAAACCCTATTTAATAACCACCAGGTTTTCTTTTTTTTTTTATATAAAGTTTAAAAAAAAGCCAAATTGTTTGAAAATTACACCCGGTTTTCCTTACTTTGTGTTAAATCATTGCAAATGTCAGGACAGGAACCCCCCCAAAACGACCCTTTTTTGCTACAAGTTCAGAAACATGCTGGTGTTAAGGTTGCGGTGAAGTTCCACCTGGAAAAAAAATAATAAGTGAGCAGCTACAAAAAACTGTTACAGATGACTATTAAAATACAGACACTTTTTTGCTAATTCAGAAACATACTGGTGTTGAGGTTGCGGTGAAGTTCCACCTGGAAAAAAATAAGTGAGCAGCTACAAACTGTTACAGATGACTATTAAAATACAGACACTTACCTGTCCCTCGGTCCAGCAATGTCCTCACCACTACTGGTTTCACCGGCCGTCTTCTCTCCCTGGCGCCGGCATCTTTAGTGTGGGCACCTGGCTGTGACAGCTTGCAGCTTCACAGCTGGGTGCCCACTATGCATGCGAGAGAAGTGCTGCACTTTGTGAATGGCCCCGTAGTCATCTGGGACCTGTCATGTGTCCCAGAAGACTACAGGGAGAGAGGAGGACAACTTCTGCTTCCAATCGCCTAGGGGATCGCAGTGGGAGCGGGTACCTGTCAAATTTGGGTACCCGCTCCCCAAAGGTACCAATCCTTAATAGGAAGCGGGGGGGACAAAGGCTTAAAGCGGAACTTCCCCTTTTGGGTGGAGCTCCACTTTAAAACCAAGAGCTTGGTAAGATCTCATTCACATGGGGCGTATCACAGCGTATGCTCATGCGAGGCTGTGTTTACCTGCACAGGGATGCATAGTTGTTTGTGCAGGCAGTCTCACTGAGGTCAGTTGGGACACAGTGGCTACACGGCACAACTGCTGCTTCCAATTTGACTTCCGTGTGGATGCGTGTCTCCAAACTCGCACTGTTTGTGTTCAGGGTCGTGCATACGCATGGATGTCAAATTGGCTGTGTCATTACAGCTACTGCGTCCAGAATGCCATCAGTGGGACTGTCTGCACTTGAATGCACAGAACACCTGTGCATCCCCATCCAGTTACACAGCCTTACACAGGTGTATGCTCTAGTTCACCCTGTGTGAACAATGCCTAATGGTGCACTAGATACAGAACATTGGTATAATGTATAGATCATACACAGAGTGTTTCCCCCCCCCCCCCCCCCATTCCGCTTCGCCCACAAGGCCACGTCATTCCCTTTTTTTGTGAATGCTGGCGGGCGCTCTTATAGTTGGTTGATTCTTCCTGTAATTCCTTAACTGCCTGCCCATACGAGGTTTGGGAGGACAGCTGTGCGGAGTAGAAAAATTATAAGCACATTTTCTTTTACCTTAAAGATGTGCATTTATCTTATTTTATTTTTTTTTTTCATAAAAGGTGAACCTGGCCATTAATTCTGGAAACGCAGGTAGAGAGCCATATAGACAACAAGAAATAAACATGACTAATTTTTTTTCCGTGTTCTGACACGAGGGAGATTTACTGGATACAAAGAAAAACAAACAGAGGGCGCACTGGCCTAGTGCATTATCGTAAAAAATGTATTGGAAGGATAAAGAGTAAGTATTGTACTCACAATAGGCAAACGGGTCAAAGGCACATCACACTAAACAGCAGTGTCCAATCCACATTGCATATAAGTCCAAGAAACCTATGGTGGCTCTGAGGAAGAGGTTGAGACCTCAAAACGCATTAGCCTGTTGGAAGACCAGGGTTCCATTTTTTTGGACTTCTATGCAATGTGGATTGGACACCGCTGTTTAGTGTGATGTGCCTTTGACCTGTTTGCCTATTGTGAGTACGATACTTACTTTTTATCCTTTCAATACATTTTTTAAGATCATGCACTAGGCCGGTGCGACCTCTATTTGTTTTTCTTTGTATCCAGTGACATTGGACTACCCTGGTCCGTTGAGGGTAGCAAAGAGTGCATTTTCCAGGATATCTGTGATGTTACCATAACCCTAGCCGAGTCCATCCCGAAGCACAGGAGTACAGAGTTTGCTGTGTTTACGAGGGAGATTTACTATAGGGTGTTTTTGGTGGATGATTCTAGTAAATACTCAGTGTCAGGTTGGCTGAGTGATGATCAGTGGTGATGGGGCTCTGTATTAAGGTTGTGACGAGATCCACAGTGCAGGCAGTAACAGTGCATGAGCTGGCTATACTGGTGTGTCAGTGGTTTGCCAAATATTTATAATGTGTAAGAAAGGAAAAAAGCCTTTGTATATGCCAGCTGTGTATGCATAATGCACAGTGAGCTGCTGCACATTCTATATTGTGTGCAGCAGTGATAGACAGTGAAATGGAGATCTTTCTGGCCTAGGAAGTGGATACGGCATGAGACCCGGAAGAAGATATGGTTTTAGTACAGACTAATTGCATTCTGAGCAGGGCTTCTTAACCTTAACCACCTCAGGGCTTTAAGATGGGCTTGAATTTTGGCTTCAGTTTTCTTTTAAACATTATTTTCAAAATCTGACCTTTTTCAGATCCTAAAATACAGGTATGGGATCTTATTTGTAGCTGGTTTTGGTTCTTGAGTTCTGGATTTGTTGAAAAGGAAAATATCTTTCCACCATCTGTTGATGAACCTGGCTCTATGATCTACATAGTGGACATGCCCATGGTTGGACAAATCTCTGGAGCCAGGTAGCCAATTCTCCTTCTAGCTATCACCTAACTTCAAGGTTTTCTCTAGTTTGTTTTTAATGGAGTTAGCTCCCAAAATTAAAAGAAATCCTACTGGCCCTGGATTACAGACTGGCTCCAGAATGTTAAATTTGTCCACCCGTGTGTGTATATGTATATATGTATATGTGTTGTGTATATATATATTGTGTGTGTGTGTGTGTGTGTGTGTGTGTGTGTATATATATATATATATATATATATATATATATATATATATGTGTGTGTGTGTGTGTATATATATATATATATATATATATATAAATAAACACAAAAAAATATTATATAATATATATATAATATTGTATATAATATATATATATATATATATATATATACACATACACACACATATACACATATATACACACACACACACATATATATATATATAATATATGTGTGTGTGTGTATATATATATATATATGTATGTGTGTGTGTGTGTGTGTATGTGTGTGTGTGTGTGTGTATATATATATATATATATATATATATATATGTGTGTGTGTGTGTGTGTATATTATATATATATATATGTGTGTGTGTGTGTGTGTGTGTATGTATATATATATATATATATATATGTATATATATATATATATATATATATATATATATATAAAAAAATTTATTATTTTATTTATTTTTTAAACTTAAATTAGGTTGGTTTAATCTTGTCATTCCAATCTTCAGAATGAAATCTGTTTAGCAGGGCTCAGCATTGTGACTGTAGGAGTTGGTGATCAGACTCTTTCTATTAATAGAGGATCCCATACCTGTATACTTCTCAGGGATTGTGTAGAAAAAGATCTCTAGTAAAACCCATTGGTTAAGAACCACTGCCGAATAATACAGTCATGACTGGAGATGTGACTGACTTGTATTATTTTTACAGTAGCCAGAATAGAAAATGATTAGGTTATGTACTGGACTTGTAGTAGTCCTTCTTTTTTTATTGCTCCTTTTTCTATCTCCTTGTTTCCTATCTGTGACCTGTCTTTCCTCTAGAGCTCTCCTCTCCCATTTGCTGACATGCTTCTCCATTTTTCAGAATGACAGCCCTTTCCAAGGTGGCGTTTTCTTCCTCACCATTCACTTTCCCACAGATTATCCCTTCAAACCCCCCAAGGTAAGGAGAGAGTTAAGCTCACCATCTAGGGAAGAGATGGCCTCTTACAGAAACTGCCGCACAGCAACTTTGGAGCACATACCACTTTGGATTTTTCAGTAGCAGAGTCTTTGACTTTTACTATATCTTTCTTTACAGGTCGCATTTACAACCAAAATCTATCACCCCAACATAAACAGTAATGGCAGCATTTGTTTGGACATCCTGCGGAGCCAATGGTCACCAGCCCTGACGGTTTCCAAGGGTCAGTAAGCATGTCTGAAATGCATGTGTGAAAGGAGAATTAAAGCAAAGAACAAAAATGTAATCTATTGTAGCTTGCCAGTTTTTAGATGTGGCTGCAGTTTTATTTTTTTTTTCAGGCATTTTTCAGCAATTACAAAACAAAAAATGTCCTTTCTTCTGTTAACTACTAATCTCCCCTTTCCCCAGTGTAATGGAGAATGAGAGCAAGACCTGTTTGAAATTTTGACTGTTTGCAGTTAGGGAGACAACCATGGCTTCCTTTAAAGATACAATGGTGGCTTGAGCGTAGACACCTAGGGATAGAAAGTGTTATTCATAGGATTGCCAGGTGAAAAAAAGGGGGAAAAAAGCCTGAAACAAGAAAACTAATGGCAGCCACATCTGAGGACTGGTAAGCTACAACAGTGTTTCTCAATTTTTTTTCAGTCCAGGCACCCTTTAAAAGTCTGGACAGTCTCAAGGCACCCAATTCTAAAATGTAAAAGACTATTATAATCCTTTTACCTAATACAACAACACCCACACATGTATGACACCCAATGTTAGAGGGGAATTATTCTTCTAAAGCAAAAACATTTTTGCACACTGGCACTGATTAGTATTCCAATGTTTCTCTTCTCCCTCCAATTCTCTCTAACACTAGCTAATTTGACCCCATTACTGACAGAGAGAGGCAGGGGAGGGTCAAACAAAGAATGCTGTGCAGTCCACAGACAGACTCCATATACACTGATGGTGTCAATGGTTGTTAGGACGCCAGAGGCTATAAGGTTGGAAAGGTGAATAATGAAAACCTGTGGCTTCGAGTAATTAAAATATAGGCTTGATCCACTTGCTGGCTTGTATACAATTTTGGGGCAATTTTTAGGCATTTTGCCAAAGCACCCTTGAAGAAACTTCAAGGCACCCTGGTTGAAAAAAGGCTGAGCTACAATACATTACATGTTTTATTTTTGGCTTTAAATAAGCTTGAATGCTCTTTGGGTGTAATAGATATGACCAAGGCATGTACCTGTCTGGTCCAAAATTCTGTACCTGGTAATATTGGGATGAAAGCTCTTAGATGTGTGTCTGGGGTTCCCCTGTAGCAATACCCACTAGAGTGTTGACATACACTGTGTAGCTAAAAATATGTGAACACCCCACCAAACTGAGTTCAAGTGCACAAGGCCAGGTCCATTAAGACGTGGTGTACAGGAACCCAAGTGGTCTACAGAGAGCCCTGAGCTCAGCTCTAATGAACACCTTTTGGGGTGCATTTGAGCTCCAACTGGGAACCAAGTTTTATCAACCAACATTAGTAGCTGACCTCACAAATGCTCTTTTGGTGGACTGATCACAAATTCCAACAGACACTAATCTTGTGAAAAGCCTTCCTAGAAGAGTGAAGGCTGTTTTAGTTGTAAAAGGGAGGGGGCAAATTCATATTTCCCATGATTTTGGAATGTGATGTCTGGCAAAGACTCGTGCAGATGTCATGGTAAGGTGTTGACAAACTCTTGGCCATACAGTGTAAAGATTTTTTTTTATATGTAAAAGGATTTGTAGTTCTTTTCAGTCCATCTGGTGATTCACAAACCTCTGTCACTTTGAACAGCCAGACAGGTGACACCTCTGGTTCTACTGCAGGTTCATTGTCTATTAAGGAGATTGGTAGAATAGGAAGACACAAATCTGAACCAGGAAATAGTGGCATCATCTTTCCTAGCCTGAAGTGTGGCAGAAGTGTATGAATCGCTAAACAAACCGTTAATTTAGTTATTTTCCCTGGAGTTTTTTCCTTTCATTAAGGCTCTATTCACACAAGCATTTGGCTATGCTGCAAATCCCAGTGGCAGGAAACTGATTCCTGCTGCTGGGATTGACAGCTGTGTATGAATAGCCACTACTGAACCCATACACTGCAATGACAGCCTGTCAGCAGCTGCAGCAATTGGTGCTTGTTTGCACATCTAGTGATTACTTGTGATCACTGGCTTTACGAATAGCTGCGACCTTTCCATCTTTATAAAGTTCAACTACCTTTTTCTGGAGGTCTTTTGTCCTTTTTTGCTCCCCATGGCTCAGTATTTAGCCTGCTCGGGGCATCTGCGTGAGAGCTAACAAAGTGCATTAATTGCAATTTAAAAAGTCACATGTGGGAAATTAACCTTTTAGTTGCCATTTTAACCTGTGTGTCACCTTGTGTGTCTTTACCTAGGCCCAACATTCCAGGGTATGTAAACTTTTGATCAGGGCCATTTGGGTGATTTCTGTTATTACCCACTAGCCACACTACTTCATGATAATACATGAATTCCTATGATCACTGTTCTTAAATTAAAATACAGTATAGTGGCATGATCAGTCATATTTTCAATACCTGTGCCTAAAATTCACGATTTCTGCAAGAGTATGCAAACTGTCTGGAAGAAGAGTGATTTACATAGAAAACTATACGGTTCGGTCATGTCAGTTTCTTTTGCTCTACATCACAGGTGTCAAACTGGTGGCCTTCCAGCTGTTGCAAAACTACAAGTCCCATGAGGCATTGCAAGACTGACAGTTACAAGCATGACTCCCAAATGCAGAGGCATGATGGGACTTGTAGTTTGGCAACAGCTGGAGGGCTGCCAGTATGACACCCCTGCTCTACATAGAAAATGCACATAGCCATTCTCATTTATAGAGGCACTTTGCCTATTCAGGTGCATTTAAATGATTCTGTTGCTTTGTTCTGCATGGGTAAAGCACATTAAATCATATTAAACATGCAGCAAGCAAAGTGGTAACTTCTGATCTGTTTACTTGTTCTACATCAGTGACTAAAGAGTATTAAATAAAGTGGATCAGCCAGGCAACAAGAAGTTCTCCTGAGAAGGTTGGCAATGGAATCCATATATTTTTTTGTCAAGACAAGTTTCAATGTAAACCATTTCTAAAACCTAATTTATCATATACACACATGAGGGCAGCAAGGCACACTTTATTATATATCTGCTCCAATTCCTATTTAGTAGCTGTGCCTTACTGATCCTCTTAACTCTGCACATATCTAACAGGGTCTTTGTGATTGAATACATTACTCTGCAGTCTCTGATGGTGTAAAATACCCACGATGTTCCTGGTGGCCATATCATGTGATCTGGACTGCCCAGGATTTAGGCCCTAGCAGTGTTCTAATCAGGACAAGCAGGAGTTTTTTTTGTTTTTGTTTTTTTTTTCTTCTGAGATGGCTTATTGATTCATGTGTTTTTATTAAACCCGAACGAAACCCTCCAATATTCACCACCTCTCTAGTGATGTGACATCTGCAAACCATCTCCCTGCCACCAACCTCTTTTCATTTATTGCAAAAGATACTAAGTCTGCAGTAAAAATCCTCCCTCTTTGCAAACTGTGCATATACTTCCAAAGCTCTATAACTTGTGGTACTCTAAGTGCTGACTTCTGTTTTCCTCCCTTAGTTCTGCTCTCTATCTGCTCCCTTCTCTGTGACCCCAATCCTGATGACCCTCTGGTGCCAGAGATCGCTCACACGTATAAAGCAGACCGGGACAAGTACGTAGAATTTAACTGAATTTCTGTTCATATCTATTGATGGGAAACGCAAACCTACCAATAAGTCAAACTATTGCATATGGATGATTTTGAGTTAGCAACTACTAAGTATATAGACTTGAAAAAAGGTTTTCAACGGATTTGTGAAAACCTTGAATTATTAGAAGCAATTTTATCCATTTTGTGTTCTTTTGAGTAAAGGGGAGTCAAATATGTAAATGTCATACCCAAAATATTGTATTTAGGTGTGAGTTGTAAAGGGGATCTTGTCAAGTGAATCTATAACCGAAACTTTGATTTTGTTTTGCATGGTGTAGGGAATGGTTAGAAGATCTGTAAAATTTCTGTTGCTGTTCATGTACCCTTTTCCCGGGGACGGTTGGATTTCTTCTCACTTAGGGTCCATGCACACTGGCGTAAAGTGTTACTAAACCCAGGACCCTGCATTCACTCTATCTGGTCTCCAACACCCAGAACATGGAAATGCAGTTATTTTAGTAAATATAAACTGCTAAATACCTTTTCTCATGAGCAGTCTTGTGACTTCTGGAGCAGAGGAAAGCTGCAGGAGGACCCCCTAACCTCTGTCTGGACAGTGCTGATTTGCCCTGTGCTGATCACATGCACTCTCCCAAGAAATAAAAACCTCTCTAGCAATACACACCAAACTGAGCATGTGCAAAGTGTCTCCACACATTATGTACTATCAGGTGATAAGAGGGGGGCACTGGATGAAGGGGAGGATCAGAGAAGACAGGATCAAACATCCTTTTTACACAATGCAGAGGATTAACCCCTTAGGTTCCACAGTGAGTACAACAAGCATGCTTTACTGCATATACAGACTGATTTTGCTGTTGTGGATTTAGTAACACTTTAAAGTGATTGTAAAGGCTCAAGTGTTGTTTTTTTTTTTTTTTTTTCATGCTATGCATGAAGGTGAAAAAACAGTGTGCTGCTCACCTGAGCCCCCTCTTGATCCAGAGCTGTACATGGGAGCCTCAACTGTCCTGGGACTCCTTCTCCTCATTGGCTGAGACAACAGAGGGAGCCATTGGATTCCATTGCTGTCAATCACAGCCCGTGGGCCAGTGAGGAGATTGGGGGCTCTGTGTCTTATGGATGGGTTGAGCAGGGTCCAGGAGTGAGCACGCACCAGTGCTTCCATAGCAAGCGGCTTGTTATTGAGGATGCTGGTCAAGGGGGGAGGGGCCAGGAGTGCCATTGGGGGATCCGAGAAGGATCAGGGCTGCTGTGTGCAAAACCATTGCACAGAACAGGTAAGCATAACTTGTGTGTGTGTTTGTTTTTTGTTTTTTTTTAAGTTGAACCTTTCATATCACTTTAAAAATGTCGCTTGAAGAGGTGTTTAGCGTTTTGCCTGTAGAAGCGGCTAATATCTTATGTGTCCATGCATGTTAGATCGTTTTAGAGGCTTATTTTAAGCTCAGCATTTAGAGGCAAAAAACCCCACCTGTTTTGCGTTTTTGAGAGCATTTTTAGCAGAGAAAAAACTGCTAAATGCTCTTAAACGCTAGTACAAAAACACGCTGAAAAATAGCAGATTTTTTAATGCAAGGAGCACTGGTGTTTTTTTAAGCCAGTGTGCATGGACCAGTATAAAGTAAAGAAATCTGATTTTTCTTGGCATTTCCTACTTTATTCAAAATAAAATCTAGATATATAGATATCCTTTTTAGGGCCTGTGTCAGTGAGCTTTTGGCTTATTGATGACATCAATTTGACATCAGTTTGAGATGCTTCTGAGATCATTCAGAATTCATTTATGGGTGCAGTTGGCCTCCTCCTAACCTTTTTCTCCTGGTCCAAGTGGGTTTTGCATATCTATGGACTTGTATGGCAATGCAGAACTCATTGGATGCAAACAAAAGTCTGTTGACCTCTTGAGCATCTGAGTGCTCAGGGGCGGACTGACCATTTGGAAACTCGGCACTGCCGAGAGCCCGGGGTCAGTAGGGGGCCCCATGAGATGCCCCTGGTACCTTTTTTCATAGGCTTTTTTGAGTTTGGGGCAAGAACATAGGGGCCCCATGATCCCCTATTGCCCGGGGGCCCCATGAGTTGTCAGTCCGCCCCTGTGAGTGCTCCTACAAAAATCAAAAGATTTGCACATATGTGGACCTTTGGGGGTCAGGTTTTACCATTGAATCTACTAGTATTGGAGTCCTGGCATCTGATCTTGCTGTGTGACACTGACAGGCAGTGCCACCTTGATCTTCTCTTTTGAAAAGGAAGAGTTCTATATATCGTATGACTGTGGAGGGGAAGAGTTGAAAAATGAAATGCAGGTGCATGGAGCAGTGTTCAAAGTTAAAACAGCCCTGCAGTCCATGCAATTGAAAGAATGTTCAGTGTGAGATAATGTATAAATGAGAAGCTGGCTCTGTATAAGTAAGGGCTCATGTACACGGGACATTTGGAAAACTCTTCTGAACGATTGAAACTGACTGCTGGAAAACGTAGGTTAAAAGAACGTCTGTTTAGCCACGTTTGCATAACACATTTATGTGCGTTTTGGGTTTAGAAGCGTTTTTTTTTAAGATAACCTCAGGAGACCTTCCAAAATGCCCAGAATGCACTGAAAAACAGTAAAAAAATTATCTAGTTCAGACATTTTGAGAGAAATAGAGAGAGAAGAAGCAGAGAGAGAGCAGTATGTGTTGAGATGACCTGTCTTTTTTCTGGTTGTATTCACTATGGATCCCATCATGAGCATAATGCGGCACGTTCTACCATTTTTTCCTTTATGAAAAACTTGGAACTGACTGCGCTGGTGTACTAGGTCCATTTGAATACATGGAAAACACTTTGCATGCATTTTCTGATGATGGAAAAAGGCTCTGGACAGCATCTGGATATGGAACAGAAAAAAAAAAAAACTCTTATAAACGCCAAACGCTTATAATGGCGGTTAGCCGTGTTTACAAGCATTTGGCGTTTGCAACGCTGATAAAATCTACTGCTGAACGCAAGTTTGGTGCGTTCAAAAAAACGACTGTAAACTCAACTGCCTGTAAACGACGATGTGTACGTGGACACATAGGAAAACATTAGGGAGAGTTCAGGGGCTGCTAAAAAAAAAAACGCAGAACAGCTCCTGAACGTGAGTTTATCAGCTGCAGTGTACATGAACCCTTACAGAAAAGGAGAAAAACACAGCGCCTCTAAGTGTAGACTTTCAGAGACTTTAATATCAAATTAAGCTAGGCAACTCACATGGTTGTTAAAACGGGCTCATTAAACAAATGGTAACAGGAGCGCCATTCCAATGTGGAGGAGATGCTGTAGGGACTAGGAGATGACCATTGCGAACTTTGCGCATAAACGTGTCACACCTAAGTGACATCATGACGCCAAATGTTGCGGTGCAGTTTGTATTCTAGCCATTGCCTCAGACCGGTGGATTTGCCATCCAGCTTCCTCGATCCACGCCGGTTGCATCCCCTAGTCCCTACAGCATCTCCTCCACATTGGAACGGCAATCCTGTCACTATTTGTTTGAGCCTGCTGTTTTATCAGTCATGTGAGTTGCCTAACTTATTTTGATAATAAAGTCTCTGAAAGTCTACACTTAGAGGTGCTGTGTTTTTCTCCTTTTCCAAGACCCATCTTGGTCTTGTTTCGAGAACCATTCAAAAGCCACCTACCTTTTACTGCATTAAAGTGGAATTCAAGGCATGTGTCTGAAGTTGTATATTTATGAGTTATTTTACCCAGCGAAGGATTTGTGTTTAGCCAGTTTTGTGCTTTTTACACCCCTGCCATACTGCATAACCAGTCGATGCGACTATTCTATTCTGATTTTAACTTTACAGTTTTCCTTGTCACCTCATAACATCCAGATTTCCATGTCATCTGCCTGCTCCTGGACAAAGAGCCAGAAGTGTGATGATGGTTCGTTGTTCATTGAGTAGGTTGGAGGCAGAATGGGTTGTATTTGAAGCTGGAAAGCTAAACCAGGAAACTGGCCAGACAGTGCAGTGTACAAGATGTTAATACATTTCAGATCTGTGGCTGAAGTCCTTTGGCAAGTAACAAGGTCCACAAATATTTTTACTGCATATGTATCCTTTTACCTGGGATTCCAATTAACGGTACTATGTCTATGTATACAGTTATCACGTTCTATGAGCAATAGCACACACTTTATTTGCCATCCGAATAGTTCTTTTCAGCAGAGTGCTTTCCACCCTTTGTTGTGGAAAAATGATCTTGCTATTATCTTTTCCCTTCAGTTGAGCCCATTGTGTGCTTTGAACAATGTTTACATGTGTGTGATTGATATACAAGCAAGTTCATTTAGATGGGATAACATAATGTGTTATGTGAGTATTGGATATTGTCGTGTTTATAGGACTGTCTTTTATAGTATTGACTTTTTAAAAATAAGCTGACCCCACACATTGCAAGAGGATTTGGTAAACTCTACGTAATGTGAGATCCCAAGCCATATCTGGTTATATTAAATTCTTTGTGTTGGTAATTTCTCACCCTGCATAACTGTTTGAAAGTCTATGGCTGGCCATTGACAGATCGTTGTTGTTTTCTTGTTTGTTTTTTTTATAACTGTTGGTTTTTTTTTTTTTTTTTTTTTGTGGATTCCCCCATCCACACAAAGCGAGGTAGATAGAGGAATCCTCCACACTGTGCCATTGTATTCTGGCTATTCAACTGTCAGGATACATTGATCAGTGGCTACAGCCAGCTGGTTGAGAAATGTTTTCCAACATTCCCATTTGACAGAAGTCGCTCATTAGATGGAGTAAAATGTTTTTGATCTCTGCTGAACTGGCTGAATTTTGATCCATCCAGGGCCAGCTTAAGGGCCCATCACACCATACGTTGGTTAACGCAGTGTGTTAACCCTTTGAGGACCGTAAGGTTTTGAAACGCCAAAAGAATCAATTTTTTTGTTTTTAAAGTTCGTACACTTCAGTTGCTGTAACTAAGCCATTTCATGAAATAATTGGCAAAAAGCTAGATCCATTTGTTTGTTGATAAGAACAAATATTTTGACTCAAACCAAAAAAAAAAAAAAGAGTTTTAAGTTCTTAATCAGATGATACATGCAATTACAAACATTGGACAAATACATCCCTTGGTCCTCAAAGGGTTAAGGTGCGCTGCATTAGGACAGCACTAACACAAACTAAAATGGAAATGTGCTTTGTGCTGCTGCATTGCCCAGTATTGTCGTTATATGTTGGGATGCCTCTTTAAATGAGTGGAATTGCACCGATCATGCATTACCGCAAAGCACACAGATGGGCAGATATTGTCCAAACACAAGTCATGTGTATGCTTCCTTGAATCTTGGTGTACTTTGTGTATTTCTTCATGACCTGTGCAGTAATCCAGTGTAAAACCTAACCACTTGTATATCACTCTATAGATCCGGCCAGATCTAACACCATTATAGGATTTATTACATTGTACTGCTATATATGCTGTTTTTATTCACTGTTGTTATATTCTGATGCATAGGGTGGTCACATCCACTTAGTAGATTTTCATATAGCGCTGCATCATTATATTGTAAAGTTGTATATATCCATCTTAAGGGGAGGTTTGGATGCTAGCTGCTCAGACATAGACTTTTTATAGCAGCGCAGGAGGACTCTTACTGATATTGTGTGTAGGAGCTTCCTGTAACAAAGACCGGTCACTGCTGCTCTCTCCTTTGTGCATGGTTATTGGTCTTGTCTCTGTTCCCTCCTGTAGTTTTCTGCAGGCAGCCTGTAGTGGGTGGGGCCGGCTGGGTCAGTGTAATATCTGGGTTGGGAAAGTCACACAAAGTGAATTTCTATCCTTTTGTGGCTATAGAGGAAACATGTCAACACAGAGGTGTGCTTAAAGGGGACTGTACGGAGATTTGTACAATCTGATTTTTAATGTATGTGGTTTGTATTAGACTTGGCCTTCTGTGATATTGTTTTGATGTATTTATGATTTCTAAATGACCTTATCATATAAAAACTTGCCTCTCCTTCTTCTTTTATAGGTATAACAGACTAGCACGAGAATGGACACAGAAATATGCAATGTAACACACTCTAAATAGCACAGCCAGACTGACAGACTGGAGAGGGAAGAGACCCTCCCACTTCTCTTGTTTATCTTCTTGTGCCAACATGCCCGCAATGTTTTTATACAACACCGACCAACCAAAAAATAACCAAGCGACTCCAAGGATGCCCCTTCCCTCTTTCCCCTTCACATCCAATTCCCTGCAGCCTGGCTGAGGAAGAGATTTGCCCATTCTTGCTCTGAAATCTGCTGCTGTTATAAAGCCCTTCTGCTTGTTCTATTCGTACTCCGAAATCCCATGGGATGAGCCCCTCTCCCCTTGCACTGAGACTTCCCTGCCCTGGGATCTGCTTTCGAGATGCTCATATCACCTTACCCCCTTCTTAAAATAACTCAGGACATAGATCATGGGATCCTCCCTTTGCCCAGTCCAGAAAAGCATGGCCAACAGCTGCTGTTGCTGGAACAAGAGAAGCCTTTGTGGAACGAGGAGGGAGATCGGGAGCTGCTTTTGTCTTCAGGCCTTTGACTCGTTCTGAAATAGACACTCTCATCCTTTATCTGTTACCTGCATGGAGAAGACGAGCAGAGATATCTATGGAACAGTGTGCAATTCTTTATGCACAGGGTTGCGGTACTGTTTTTGCAACGGCTGTACTCCAAGAATGTTTGATGAATGGGGAGAGCTGGAACCCAATCTATTTTTAATGCATGTGACAGCTGCGTGCTTATCACATCAATAACAGTTAATGGTACCTTGGGGGTGTGTATCATCAATGATGGTGGTACTTTGTATCTTCCTAGCATCTCCTAGAACTGGGTAGACCCCCTCCCTTCTGTTTACTTGTATAAGAATGTGTCATTAACACCCATCTGTGTTCATTTTACCATCAAACTAACTCATATCATTGTGTGCTTTAAAGGATATATTTAGCTACACAATTCTCGGATGCCAAACAGCTCCTCACTCCACCTTAAGCCCTAGGTCTAGCAACATCCATTGCACACCCCTCACTCTGTTGGAGCAGAAGCCCACAAGCCATAGTTGTGGAGGCATACCTTCTGCAAGCTGGACCACTATTCACCGTATTAAAGGTTACCCCATACAGCTACAGATTTGTGTTGTTTCCAGCAAACGTTGACTCTTGAAACGGGTGCAATTCCAACTTCACACCTGTCATTGTGATTCAGCAGTCTGGTAGCTAGGAAACATCGAGTAAGTATTTGAAAAAGCCCTTTGCAAAATGAGGAGGCAAAGCAATCGCCATGGAAACTTGTCAAGGGATAACTTGCATCTGTGGCAAGACACAAAATTGCTGAAGGTGATCTGCAGCTGACTGGGGAAACACTGTCACAGGGAGCTTGTGACATCTCTAAGGCAGGAAAGCCTGTTTTAACAAATTGATGGTGACGTTAGTTTGTATGTAATTTCATAGCAGTGGGATCACTTTAACTGACGTCACTGAATGAATAATCTACATTTCATGGTCATTGGTTCATACAAAATGACTGCTTCCACTTGTGTAAGTGACTACTGGTAAATCTACCTGAAGCTGATATTTCAGGATGAAGCACTGGTGGTTTGAATTATCCATCTGTATGAGTTCTCAGCTCCTCCCATCTGACATGGCCATAACATGGGGAGGTCTCTGCCTCTGTTAAAGTAAATTATGGAGAGTGATATAGGGGCAAAGAGACCTGACCTTGGCCTAATAGTGGTTGTTGGTGCTGAGAATTCCAGTGTGGAGGTCTTATCACTTGAGACTTGATAAAGGAAGGAGTGGATGATTCAAGCCACCAACTGCCACCCACAATGGATATTTTCAGCTTTGGACTGGCACTCCCTCCAAGAACACAAGGTCCTATTTGGGGCATTCATTGTGCAACAGGCAGGGGAATGTTTTTCAGCACTGTGAATTTACCTTGGTCCCAGCCTACCTCATGCTCTGAATTCTGGGACAAGAAAAACCCTCCCACTTCACAGAAGGGTGGAGCGGCTCTGCAATGTAACGCACCTAAGAGCAAAACACTGAGCAGGAGAAGCGGTTTCTGTGGACAGTCCTACATGCATAAACAAATTGTATCATAATATACATAACAGGGGTGGACAAAATAATGGAATTACCTGATATCCAAAAAAAAGGATTCATGTCACAGCTTCTACTCTTTTGATGTACAGTGCTTGTGTAGAGACATGGCTGCTTATTCAATTGAGGATGTAGTTTTGTAGCACTCGGCAGTTATCCTGTTAGTTGCCTGTCAATCTTTTTCTATACGCATCCGTGACACTTGGTCCTTTTCGCCAATGAAGGTTTCACATGTTTGGTATCTACTGACGTTTTTGTGGCAGTTCCTCTTGCTACAATTTTTTTTTTTTTTTTTTTTTTTTTCTTTTAGATGGTAGCTCATGTGTTTTGAGCACTGACAATTTGGCCTCTTTCTGGAACTCCTATTGCTGTGAAAAATCAAATAGCTAACTGCCGCACTTTTTTTTTTTCTTTTTTTTTTTTTTATAATGGACACCTACTGCTAATGACGGTCCGTTTAATGTGACTTACCTTTGCAGCTATGTTTGTAGTTGTGACCTGGTTATAGCAAACTCCTTTTTTCAGATGGTGTTTCCATTATTTTTCCAAGTCCCTGTAGAAGAAACCTGATGCACTGTACAGTCAGAGAATATCTACATACTCCTTTTACATTGTTTGAGGTTTGCTTTGTATCCACTATAGACTTGCACTGTGTAATGCTGCCGAGTACCTGTATACAATGTTGGTGAATGTGCTGCACTGAATTATTGCCAGCAGACGGTAACTGACTTAAGGTCCGTATCAGTGGAATTAAAAGCGGACAGTGTTCATTAAACAATATCTATTATGAGAGCATGTCTCTTACTTTCTGTGGAAGCGACCGTTTTGTAGAGTGAACCAATAATCAGGAGGGTGCAGCCTATTCTTTAGGAGATGGTGGCTCCCAGTAGTACTAATTGTTTTTTCCGGGTTAACTAGCCTTGAACCCTTGCTGGGGACTCATTTAATAACCTGGAAATGCCCTTACATGTACACTGTAGTGCATTGTAGTGCAACTGGTTCTAGATCTCCTCCCAACTGCCGGCTGATAAATAACTTTTCAGTGATTTCACTTTAAGTCTTCCACCAAGCGAAGGTAGGCAACACTGGGATGAAGAAGGCAAATTGAAAGGGTTTTTGCACCTAATGTAATTACTGGACAAATGATACAAAGCAGCAACTTTGTAAAATGTATTAATTGGCCATCTTGTACAGGTTCATGAGGTGGCCATTGTGTAGAAATGTCACATTTTCCATGTCCCCACCCCATGCATATTACATTCATGATATTCTGTAAACCTACTCGCATTTAAAAGTTTGGGCTGCATTTTTTTTTCCCCATTTGGACTGATGATGCCCTGAAAATAGCAGATCTAACTTTCTTCTCTAGGACGTTTTTGGAGACTTTGTTCCAGTTTGATACCACAGATTGGACCTCCTCACCCTGATGTCACACCTTCTTCTGGAAGTGACCAAGATAGCCTTGCTTGAATGGTAAAGCCTGCCTAAGCAGATCAAGCAAAGTTTCCCCAGCTGTTGTCAGGCGATGTAAGAGCTGAGGAAAGGAGGAACTGCCATGTCAGGCTGGCACACAGAGCCTCTGAAAGTCTCCGTGTTGAAGGAGAAGATTAGAGCTGCTGTTTGCAGAGCACCATCAGTCAAAATGATTTAAGGAAGGCAGCCAGAACTATTGAGACATGAGTAGATTTACATAACATCCTAATGCACATGGGGTGGTGACAGGGTCTCTTTAAGGAAAGCCATGTTGTGTTGCTTTTGTTGACAAATTTTAAAGCAACAAGTAGGATGTGAATTTGATACTCCCAGAAGTTGTATGGAGATAATGAAACAAAGCAGGTACAGAATCGAATTTACGATGTTCATTATTTGGCTGCCTTGGTTTATAAGCTGTACTTTAGTAGAACTTCCATAAAGCTGAAGTTGCACTTTAAATTGATCTAGGAGAACCTTTTTAAAAAATAGAAGCTACAAGGTTCCGCTGTCACTGATAATCCTTGTAAAAATGCTGGTTGCCTGTCTGTCTGTCTTTAATACGTTGAGTTTGATCCAGGACAAGCATGCGGCAGGTGATGTCAGAACACCTGATCAAACTACTTGTCAGTGAAAAATAAAGCATTCCAGGCAACTATCATTTTCAGGAGAGGTCACCAATGATAGCCCTTGTATTACTTTCATTATAGGTTTCCTTTAAAGTGTCATACCACTCAAACGTTCTATATCAGAATTTGGTGAAGCGAGTCTTTTCTCATGGGTAGTTTCTTGTTGAGATGCCATACATCCTGGCTTTGTTGTTATCCAACTTTGAAGTCTAGGATGTTCATGACCACCTTTGGGTGTCCTACTCCGTATGCATTCTCCAGAATGTAACCTAAACAAAGAATCTAATGGGCTCCTTCGGCAAGTGTGCTGCTTTGGGAAATCAGGTGGTGTAGAGATCTTAATGCTGCAGTCCTGTTTTTTTGTGGTTTAGGTCTCCTAGCATTTACTAAACACAACAATCTGCTTTGGCTGGATGGACCTTTTCATCAAGCCTGACAAATATGATGCTGAAGTGCCTCAGTGATGTCACACAAGTTCCTAAAGATGTCCTTGGCTGCATTCCTAGGAATATCTGTTCACCCTACAAAGGCTGCCTCTGCAGTCTGTAAGCAAGCATGATATTGTTAATTTGCTGATTGCATTTGCTTGGTCTATATGTACCCCCAGAAGTTGATGTCACTCACCACCATGGCATAGAATTTATTAAGAATGTGTCTGGATTACAGTCAGCAAAACCAAAACTTGCCTAGAATTTGAGGATCGCTTTTCGTAACTTATTTATTCATCATTCTGTTTATATTTAAACACACATAGTTTTCTGTTTTACGGAATCTGCATTAAATGTTTCTCATCCTCCTCCAAACTAGTCTGTGTAGCTTCATGTAGTAAAGAGT